TTTAAAAAAAAAAAAAACTCGGAGCCATTCTATGAGCAGCTATGCCGCGGCTAAAAATAGGCAAAACTCTGAGTTTTTTTTACAATAAGCTTTTGTGAACCCTTTCTTAGATTAGCCTTGCAATTATGATGAAACCAAGCTATAATTTTTTTAAATCATACACATTGTATTTTATAAAATTATCGACAAAAAATTTCGAAAACATTAGAAGAAACTCGAAAGATCATGTATGATTTTCATTGCGAAACTAATATAATTTAATAGTCAACTCTCACTTGCTTCTTTGAGCTTATAATTATTCAATACTGGTCTGCTTGTCCCAAAATGTTGACTGGATCGATTTAACTAGCTGTTGGCATGGTTTGGGGGAAGCGTGTTTTATTTAGCAGTTTTACCTATTAAAGTTTTAGTTTTCAAGAATTTCGATGCAACAGAGTAAAATATTGCTTTCCACAAACTCCGCCATCATCATCATCAACAACAACAAAAAACAAGATATTATATAATAAAATGTAATACTGATAGGTATAACAGACCTTTCTACTGTAAAATCACAGGACAGCGGAAGCGGTATAATTTGTTGGATATTACCATAGTCATTACTATATAATACGATTACGAATACAATACAGTAAAAACGCTACAAGGGTTCGAAGGTCAACCAATTATTTCTGCTTTACTTTTAATGGGAAATCATTGCCTAATTTATCAGAGAACAAATCAAGTCTTGGAAAAGAATAAAACAATACATCGCTACTTTTCCTGTTCCTTATACAATCACTTTATTTATCTCAGTCACGTGTATCACTTCTCAATCACTGTTATAATGACATTCTTTTCTTGGTTACAAAAACAATAGATCACTGTTTGCTTATTCTCGTCTAGGTAAAAGTATATAGTTTTTTTTTACGTAAAAATGGCGAACTTCTAGGGCGTTTTTGCAATCATTTAGCTCAGCGGTAAGTCTGAAGGCTTATAACGTTAAAAAACCGGGTTTCTAAACCCGTGGTGAGCACAGCACAGATAGCCCATTGTGTAGCTTTTTGTTTAACATCAAACAAACCAAAAACAATCATACATATACACTCCAACATGTTAGACGGAAAGGTATCAGATACTTTTGTCAAACTATTCAACAGAAGTTCCCTGTTGTAACAGAGGTAAGTTTCCGGACTTACAATGCTAAATTCCCGGGTTCGATTCCTCGTGGTGCACACAGCAGATGTGGCTTTGTTCTAAAACAAACAGACAAATTATCGGAGGAAATACTAAGAAGAAAAAAAACCGCAGATGTACAGTTTAATATTGATCCAGATTATTAAAATTAAATATATGCTCCAATAGTTTACGATAATTTATACACCACAATTTCACAAGCAAAAATGAATAATTCAAACTTTATTAACTAAGATTTTCTCAATTAAATATATATCTTTATGAGTTTTGAATCTAATTTATTTAATATTAAAATGTTTCATTTTAGTTTAACAAGCTGTGTTTTTGGATTAAGATTAATGTATTAATGCTAGTTTTTCGTTCACATGGTAATTGTATAGTTTGTATACTGGAATTCAAGTTAGTTAATAACCTACTTTCAAAAACAAATAAACATATAAACTCATCAGTCGTAGTTTAGTATTTATATTGCTGTTAACTTCGTTAATTATTTAATATAAAAAGAAAAACTTAAATTAATATTTGAG